GATTGTGGGGAAGACAGGGCCAGGGGACGGACCACACAGTGATAGAGGCTCTCCGAGTCCACTCTCCAAAGCTACCATTTTCTCCAGGGGAACTGATCTCTGTAAATCGGGAGACGAGATATAACCCCAGGGATCTCCAGGACACACTTGGGTTGCCGGCTTCGGGTTGGGAAATACCTGGAGATTTTGGGGAGGGAACCTGAGGAGGGCAGGGTTTGGGGAGAGGGGGGGGTCTCAATGAGGTACAATGCCACAGAGCCCCCCCCCCCTTCCAAAGCAGTCATTTTCTGCAGGGGAACTGATCTCTTGAGATCAGTTGCAATCCCAGGAGATCTCCAGCTGCCACCCCTAGCAATGGGGCAGCCCAAGAGGTCTACATTGGGGGGACAAAACCGAGAAGCACCCCCAGAGCTTGCAAGCTCTTGGATTCATGCGCCCAAACCTCCAGCTCCACGCACCGGCACTTTGACGCTGTTCCCAACTGAAACAGAGTTTCCTTTTTTGGTCAGTTTCCCTTAATTTTGAGGCCCATCTTCTCGTCTGCATTCCCTTTGCAGTCTCTTCCCCGCCCTTCCCCAGAACCCCAAGCCTTCACCTCTGTGATCTTGAGCTGCGGCTGCACTCCACTGGCCGCTATTCTCTCCTCCTCTTTGTCAGGAAAAGGAAAGGACTTCATTGTTGAACGCCCACCCGCGGTGTTTCTGGCCTGTCTAGGAATCGTACCACGTGGATTTAACCCTTTAAAAGGCTGTTGTTGTTGTTCAGTCGCACAGTCGAGTCTGACTCTTAGCGACCCCGTGGACCACATCACGCCAGGTTAAAAGGTCAGAATACAGCAAAAGTCCAGTAGCACTTTAAAGACGAACAAAATTTGTGGCAGGGGATGAGCTTTCGTCAGTCACTGCTCACTTCTGTCAGTGAGCAGTCACTCAGGAAAGCTCATGCCCAGCCCAGCCACAAATTTTGTTAGAACAAAGTCTGAGGCCAGTGGCATCTTTAAAAGCAAAAAAAAATAAATATTTAAGGTATAAGCTTTCCTGTGCACACATACTTCTTCATATAGTCCTTGTGTTAGTCTTTAAGGTGCTATTGGACTCTTGCTCTTTTCTAATGCTACAGACAGACTAACACGGCTACCCATAGGGATGCCAGCCTCCAGGCGGGACCTGGGGATCCCCCGGAATTACAGCTCATCTCCAGACTACAGAGATCAGTTCCCCTAGAGAAAACGGATGCTTTGGAGGGTAGACTCTATGGCACTGTACCCCACTGAGGTCCCTGTCCTCTCTAAGATCCATCTCCAAATCTCCAGGAGTTTCCCAACCCGGACCTGGCAACCCTGTGCCACCAGTGGCCAGTGGGGACCTGGCAACTCATAACTCCTTTAAAGGATTGTACAGCTCTTCTGTGGAGGGGGAAAAGCTGGGCGACCCTGAGAACACTTATGTCTTTGATGCCCACCTCTTCATTTGCTGGGTTGTTCAAAAAAACCCTGATTTTTGTGTTCCATACAAAGCCCACGTCATGGATTTCAGGCATAAAATGCTCACGCCTTAAGTCCGGTTCAGTTTTCTGCTTGGCTCCAGATACCTGCAGTACAAACACTTCTGCATTGTTTATTGGAGATCCCATCTCGTCGATTGTATTCATCCACAGGATATTCCGCCTTGAGTCTCCGTGGGGAAAGGGGGGCTCTAAGTACCATTTTGTTTAAGGACATAAATTTTCCCACAGAATCAATTTGACAAATGAATTAATTTGATTTATGTGTTTCAAAAACATGTTTGTTTAATACATATGCTTAATCATAAAAGATCTGTGGGTGTGTAGGATTCGTGCCATATTTAAGTATAAACATGTTTATATAATCAAATGTACTTGATAAACATGTTTTTAAAAATCTGTAGGATTCACTGCCTCCAGAGGTCATTTCGGGGGGGGATCGCAGTATTGTTTATTGGAGATCCCATCTCGTCGACTGTATTGATTCACACAGGATATTCCGCCTTGAGTCTCCATGGGAAAAGGGGGGCTATGAGTACCATTTTGTTTAAGGACATACATTTTCCCACAGAATCAATTTGACAAATGAATTAATTTGATTTATGTGTTTCAAAAACATGTTTGTTTAATACATACGCTTAATCATAAAAGATCTGTGGGTGTGTAGGATTTGGGGGTGCAGCATATGCTAATGAGTTATGCTAATGAGTTCCCCTAGCTCTTTTTCTACGAAACTACCCCTGACTGCCGCTAAACTTCTAGCACATAAGGATATAGAAACAAATCCAGTTGTGGTTTAGTTCACGCTTTGTACAGAAAGTCAACTTAAAGAGAGTATAGGGAGACAGGAACACAATTCATCAATTGCTGCTTCCATCCACATCTTTTATTTTTTTCCAGCTCAAATGGTTGTACTCAAGAATTTCTCTCCAGCACAGAACAGTGTGACTCAGTACAGTTTCAAAGTATGCCTTAACCTTTAACCAGTGTCCAACTTGGCAGGGCCATGGTTTCGAACCTGTAACAGCCACGCGACAACCATCGGCACAGTTCACAGGGAGGCTTTCCTGCATTAGAAGTCTCTAAACAAGTAATCTGATTGTCGGGATAGATTCAGGCTGTGCTGGTGTTGGACACAAATCTGACATCCAGAATCACAAAACTGAGAAACCTGTAGGAGAACATTTCAACCTCCCAGGGCACTCAATGGGGGACCGTAAAGTAGCTGTTTTACTACAAAGGAATTTCAGAAACAGACTGGAACGGGAGACTGCTGAATTACAAGTTATTACAACACTCAGGACAATGGAACCCTCAGGGCTTAACAGAGATATCGGGTTCTTCTCTCACTACATATCCTAAGTCATTCAGTCCTCACTTATACCCAGAATTGAACTGTTTTGGTCTTGGAGGGGCCACTGGACTCAAATCTAGTTCTCACGTCTGATAGTTAACTCTTGTATTTGTATGCTAATTTGCTACTATTCACAGATCTTACCAACTGTTTTAATCCAGTCTCTGCTATGCTTATCACCCAGTTACTTAATGCATCTTGACTCTAACTAGCCTTTCCTGGCAACTAACCACCCCTCACACCTACATGTAAGGCTTGAGGAAATTTGTTCCAATGTATCTGAAGAAGTGTGCATGCACATAAAAGCTTATACCCAGAATTAAAACTTTGTTGGTCTTAAAGGTGCCACTCGACTCAGACTTTGTTCTGATTGTCAGGAGAACCTGATCCACTTTTTTGTTAGTTACTTCTTCCTCTACTGCAGAACAGCTCCCTAGGTAAGCCTCCATCTACCAGTAATGGTATAGCATGAATGGCCCTTTTTGATAGAAAGGAGATGATTCAGAAAGTGTATTTATTTGCCAGGTAAACTGGCTGGTGCTCTTGACAGGGCTGCTAACAAGCCTGGAGAAAACAAAATGTCCTGTCCCTTTATGAGAGACTTAACGGGCTGTTATTTACCATGTCATGTGATTCAACTCCAGACCATGAAAAGCTTCACCTGACCATTTCCCAGACTTTAGGCCATTGTTAAAGGACAGGATGTTTTTTTTCCTGTTGGCAACTCGAGCTTTTGACTCTGATTTTACCCCAGGGGCCACTGGTTTCTAACCCCTAATCCCCATTGCTTTCTTGGTGGATTCTCTCACGTACCAGTTTGAGCCAGTTTGGTGTAGTGGTTAGGAACACAGACTCTAATCTGGGAAAACCGGGTCTGATTCTCCACTCCTCCTGCACATGCAGCTGCTGGTGTGACCTAGGGTCAGTCACAAGTTCTCTCAGAGCTGTTCTCTCAGAAGCAGTTCTCAAGAGAGCTCTCTCAGCCCCACCTACCTCACAGGGTGTCTGTTGTGGGGAGGGGAAGGGAAAGGAGATTGTAAGCCACTCTGAGACAACTTCAGGTAGTGAAGGGTGGGGTATAAATCCAATCGCTTCTTCTTCTTCTTCTTAAACATTAAAACTCTCCCACCCAGCCTTCAACCTCTCGGTTCTTCTTCATCTGATCTGGGACTTTTAAAGCACCCAGCAAAGAATATACTCATGCACATCATTTTTTCAAATTCAGTGCCAAAGTAGTTCCATTTTCCCCATGACAAATTACCAATTTCTTCATTTGAATCTTGCCTCCACCGTGACTTCACCAGCTGACCTTAGCCAAGTTGCGCTCTCCCCACCTGACCCTTGCCTCCAATATGGAAAACATAATACTGACCTACCTTACTGGTTTGTTGTAAGGATTACCAAATACCACATGACAAGCAACTCCTATTTTGTAAATACTATATAAATACATTGATTTTGTTATTCAAATTAGGGTGGCACCTTTGGCCATCAAATTTACCTGCATGTTTTTATTCATTAGGAGCTGCGGTGGCTCAAGTGGTTAAGACGCTGAACTGCAGGCTGTGGAAGGTCAGTAGTTCAGCAGTTCGAGACCCGAGTGTGCCGCATGACGGAGTGAGCTCCCGTCTCTAGTTCCAGCTCCTGCCAACCTAGCAGGTCAAAAGCAAGAAATTGCAAGTAGATAAATAGGGACCACTTCGGTGGGAAGGTAACAGCGTTCTGTGCACCTTGGTGTTTAGTCATGCCGGCCACATGACCACGGAAACGTATTCGGACAGCGCTGGCTCTTCGGCTTTGAAATGGAGATGAGCACCGCAACCCTAGAGTCGGATTCGACTGGCTTTCGAGCAAGGGAAACCTTTACCCTTTACCTTTTTATTCATTATAACCCAAATCTTCTCTCCCCAACCTGAGCGGCCCAGGCTGACCCGATGCCAGATCTGAGAATCCAAGCAGGGTCAGCTTTGGTTAGTACCACAGAAGCCCAGGGCTGCTGCACAGAGGAAAGCACTGGCTTTTGTCTTGAAAACCTTACCGGGCCAACCGCAAGTCTTGACGTTTTGATGGCACTTTCCCACCACAAAGCTTCTTGCCCCACCTCATGTTCTCTGAAGTCCACGGATTCCTAGGTTTTCCTGGCTGTGTGGATTTTCAAATGCGTGATGAGCGTGGAGCGCAGCCGAAAGCACTTCCCACATTCCGAGCATTCATACGGCTTCTCTCCCGTGTGAATCCTCAGGTGGCCGGCCAGCAGCGTGCTGACGCCAAAGGTCTTCCCGCATTCTAGGCACTGATATGGCTTCTCTCCGGTGTGGACGGCCTGGTGTCGGATCAGCTGCTGGCTGACGGTGAACCCTTTCCCACACTCCAGGCATTTGTAGGGTTTCTCCCCCGTGTGGACCCGCCGGTGAGTGATCACCTGCGAGCTGTTGCAAAACCGCTTGCCGCAGTCCGGACACTGGTAGGGCTTCTCTCCCGTGTGGGCCCTCTCGTGCCGGATGAGGTCTGAGCTAATGCTGAAGCCCTTCCCGCAGTAGGAGCACTTAAACGGCTTGACCCCTGTGTGGATCTTCTGGTGGTTCTTCAGGTGTGACCTCTGGCGGAACGTCTGCCCACACTCAGTGCACTCGTAGGGCTTCTCCCCTGAGTGGGTCCGCTCGTGCTCAATCAGCTGCGTGGTCACCGGGAAGCTCTTCCCACACTCCCGGCACTGGTAGGGCTTCTCCCCGGTGTGGGTTCTCTGGTGCACTACCAGGGTTGACTTGGAGCGGAAGCTCCTCCCACAGTGAGTGCATTTGTACGGCTTCTCTCCCGTGTGGACCCTCTCATGGGCCAAGAGGCCTGTCCTCCGGCTGAAGCTCTTCCCACACACGCTACACGTTGTTTCCAGCTTCCCTTTGGAGGTGTTCTGCTGGGTTGTGGATTCACTGAGAGCGTGGGGGGCTTCAGCACAGTCTGTCAGCTCCTTCCCCAGCTCCCTGCCTGATCTGGGAGGATTGGAAGAACTTTCCTCCTCCGTCAAATGCAGAGAGCGCCTCACTTTCCTCTCCTCATGCGTCTCCATTTGCTTTGGACTTTCCAGCGCTAGCATCTCCTTTTCAGTCGGCGGCCAATCACCTGTGAGAACAGGACAGAAAATTTCCATCGCTAATGCAAATGCATTTCCCCTCATCCTTCAAAAACACACAAACCCAGAAACTTTCAGGATGGCCTTTTTAGGTGAACGGAAGGACATAAGAGAAGCCATGTTGGATCGGGCCAGAGGCCCATCCAGTCCATCACTATTCTGTGTCACACAGTGGCCAAAATCCACTGCTTATGACCCAAGGTCACCCAGCAGGCTGCATGTGGAGGAACGGGGACTCAAACCTGGTTCTCCAGATTAGAGTCTGCCACTCTTCACCACTACACCAAACGATGCATACTGCCTCGAAATCCTTTGAGGAAGGTCATGCTTACCCGGACAGCTGGGCCCCCCACAGCCTTCATCTTTAACTTCCACGCTGAGCCGTTTCTCTGCAGCCTCAGAGGATGTCTGCTCTGCTTCAAGGGCATTCACAGGCGTCTCTGGGAAAGCCTCCTAAAAATAGGAATGGGGATCTTATTCAAAAGAGTTAGTGAGGCTCTTCTGGTTGGAGGTTGAACCAAACAACCAGTTCCTCCTGTGCCATGGATTCGGCATGTGGCCTGGCCACCCTTCCAGGCGTGCAGTAAAGGGAAGCAAAAACAAGGTACCTGCTCTAGTGCCACCCATTCCCAAGAAGGCATAACTGCAGTTTAAGAAGAGCAACTGCATAACATGTATAAACATATGAAGCTGCCTTTTGCTTTAGACCATCCGCATAGCTTTATATTGGTATGTGGTTGGCTTTTTCACAGAGGTAAAAGGTAAAGGTTCCCTTGCTCGAAAGCCAGTCGAATCCGACTCTAGGGTTGCGGTGCTCATCTCCGTTTCCAAGCCGAAGAGCCAGCGCTGTCTGAAGACGTTTCCGTGGTCATGTGACCGGCATGACTAGACGCCAAGGCGCACGGAACGCTGTTCCCTTCCCAACGAAGTGGTACCTATTTATCTACTTGCAATTTCTTGCTTTCGAACTGCTAGGTTGGCAGGAGCTGGAACTAGAGACGGGAGCTCACTCCGTCATGCGGCAACCCGGGTCTTGAACTGCTGAACTACTGACCTTCCACAGCCTGCAGTTCAGCGTCTTAACCACTTGAGCCACCGCAGAGGACCAATCACTAAAAACTATACGTGTATCCTAAATATTATCAAGGATGAAGCTGCCTTTTGCTTTAGACCATCCATATAGCTTTATATTGGTATGCAGTTGGCTTTTTCACAGAGGACCAATTACTAAAAACTATACATATATCCTAAATATTATCAAAGTACAATGTATACAAAAGGGAACTAATGCAACCCGACGCGTTTCGGCCTAAACCAGCCTTCTTCAATGGTCAAACGACGACTATACATAAAGGCTCATGATACAGTAGTAAAGCAATATACAAAAACATAGGCTTGTTACAGCATAAAAATACAATGCATACAAAAGGGAACTAATGCAACCCGATGCGTTTCGGCCAAAACCAGCCTTCCTCAAAGGTCAAACAACGTCTATACATAAAGGCTCATGATACAGTAGTAAAGCAATATACAAAAACAAGATACACGTTGATGTAGGACCAAGAAAAGAGTTTAACAGTCAAGAATGGATTATACAAGGCAGCAGAATGTTTGTGAGGCCTCCCAGAGTCTGACCTTGTGCTCAGTCAATTACATGCATGGTGAGTGATGCTTCTTGTTGTATGCCTTCCAATTTTGGTCCAGAGAGAACAAGTACAATTTTGGTCCAGAGACTACAGGTACAAAACTAGTTTGCACCTGTACTCTCCGGACCAAAACTGGCCACGGTGGCTGAGGGGAACCTCCACATTCAGAGGCACTAATCCTCTGAATCCCAGAGCCAGGACGCAACATCAGGGGAAGGGCTCGGCCTCTATGCCCTGTTGTTGGCCCTCCAGAGGAACTGGTTGGCCACTGTGTGAGATGAGATACTGTACTAGAAGGAGCATCGGTCTGATCCAGCAGAGCTCTTCTTATGTCTGGTGTAGCCAGTTTGGTGTAGTGGTTAAGTGCGCGGACTCTAATCTGGGAGAACCGGGTTTGATTCCCCACTCCTCCACTTGCACCTGCTGGATGACTTTGGGCAAGCCGTAGTTCTGTCAGAGCTGTTCTTGAAAAAGAGCAGTCTTTGTCAGAGCTCTCTCAGCCCCCCCTACCTCACAGGGTGTCTGTTGTGGGGAGGGGAAGGGAAAGGAGTTTGTAAGCCGCTCTGAGACTCCTTTGGGTAGTAAAGGGTGGGGTATAAACCCAATCTCCTCCTCCTCCTCCCAAACACTCCCCCCTCCTCCTCTGAGAGAACTGAGACTTGGCCTGAGGTCATCCAGCAGGCTTGATGTGGAAAAGTGGGGAGCCAAACCTCGTTCTCCAGGTAAGAGTCTGCCACTCTTAACCACTACATCACGCTGTCTCTCAGCAGGGAACCCAGTTCATGGCCTTATATAAGGATGTCAGCCAAGGGGGTGCTTGTATAATGAAGCCAAGGTGTTTTCCCCAATGCTTTACAACTTCCCACAGCTAAGGCAGGCCGAATCTCTCCTCTCACCTGCTCTCTCCACGTCATGGTCTCTCGCTCCCTCTGCAGGAAAACTTCAGCCAGGGCCACCGCCTGGGCACAGGTCCCCGGGCGATTCCTCTCGACCCAGCTCTGCATCTCCGGCGGCAGGATGGCCAGGAACTGTTCCAGGATCAGCAGCTCCAGGATCTGCTCCTTCGCGCGCTTCTCCGGCTTCAGCCACCGATGGCAGAGATACCACAGCTGGCTGCAAACCTCCCGGGGGCCCTCGACCTCCCGGTAGCGGAACTGCCGGAAGTTCCACCGCAGCTTTTCCACAGCGGTGGCATCGCGATCCTCATAGGCTCCCCTGTAGTCCAGGCAGGGGTAGTCCGGTTTGGCTTCTCCGCTGACATTTGGCAGGAGCCGGGTCGCCACCTCTCTTCTGGGATACGCCGCTCCCTCCACGGCGGGCAGAAAAGCTTTTGTGGTGTCCCAGGGGGCAGGTGCTGAATTTAGAGCCGCCATTCCGACATGGACTCCCTCTCTGCGCCTCGGGTAGTCGTCATCTTTCCCCTGGATGTCGCTACGGAGGCTCTCCGGAGGCCCTAGCAATCTCTCTCGAAGGCTGGATCGCGCAGAGTTCTGACCGTCCGTATTCCTTTGTGGCAGAACCATGTTTCCCGGCACCGGCTGGAATGGGAGGCCGAGGGCTGCTGAGGTTCTCTGGGCGGAAGACATTCTCGTTCCTCCAGAAGATGAGAAAAGATGCCTCTGTGCTCAGTTCTGTGTCAATGAGTCCAGATCAATCCCAGTTCAGACCCCCCCAGACCGCCCGCTGATATCAGCAAAATATTCCACCGTTAAAACAGCGTCATCACAACAGGGATCGGTTCAAACATGCCATTGGGCCTCATTCCAATCTGAGAGGCGGGGCTATGCATGAGTCAGTGGCCTTCCAGGTGACGGGAACGTCTTCCTAAAGAAATGCGGAAAGGAGGGGCCAATAAAAATGAGGATCAAAAGTTAAGCATCCCGTGCATCTGAAACGAAAGAAAAATCTGAGCTCTTAAATTTCAGGTTTAATTTCAGCTGGTGATTACTGCTGGTGGACCTCCTGATGACATCTTGGTTTTGGCCACAGCATGACACAGCGTTGGATTGGATGGGCCACTGGCCTGATTCAACATGACTTCTCTCAGGGGTCTTTTTGTAGAAAAAGCCCAGCAGGAACTCATTAGCATAATAGCCCACCCCCAACAGCCGCAACTCATTACCATATTAGGCCACACCCTGACAGCACCACTCATTAGCACATTAGGCCACACCGCCATGTTACCAGAAGTGTGGTCATCCAGCCACACCCACCTTTCCCTTCTTATTCTGTTTACCTTGTTTGTTGTCAAAACCCAGGGCCTTTTTTGTTGCAGGAACTCCTTTGCATTTTAGGCCACACACCCCTAATGTAGCCAATCCTAATACGTTTCTGCTATTGGGTGTGGCCTATTATGCTAATGAGTTCCTGCTGGGCGTGGCCAACTCGGGAGCCAGCCGGAACTCTGTTCCTGTGCGTTCCTACCCAAAAATAGCCCTGGCCCTTCTCTTATGTTCCTATGTGTGAGAGATGTGTTGCCTTGGCAATCACTGGGGAGTCCCAGAAACACCCATTCTGTGGCGCTGGCTTTCTAACAAATGCTATAACTGCAGCATCCACTTATTTGAGACACCAAGGGCTTCACTGGGAAGCCTGACTCACATCCTTCACAGCTAGGAAAGCCACCTTTTTGTGTGGCCCTGCTCCTGGGCCTTTAGCTGCAGCCAGGCAGCAATCCAACAGGCAGAGCCTCCCCCTTCCCTTGCTGCTGTGCCTCAAGGGGTTGCTAAAAGCCCCCAAGAAGAAGAAGGACTACCCAGGTCAGTATGATTCTTCACACAGCTGGTAGAGGAATAATTCGAGAAGCAGCCAGGGTCCAAACCCCAAAACGGTCGTTTTAAAAGTCACACCGTGAAAAACAGCCCCAAACGAGAAGAAATGCATGGTGGGAACGGCTTAAAAGAGTCAGTTCCAACTTTTCAGAATTATTCAGACAACTATTTTCCCCATTGCTCTGGCACCTCACGACAGACAGGAATTCAACCGGTAGAGATATTGCCACTGCAGTACTCCTAAGCTGCAAAAAATGTAGATTTCAAAAAACTATGAATATCTAGGGGCTTTAAAACAACACTACAGAGGCCAGGATCCAAGCAGTGTGCGAAACTGCAGCCCACGCTTCATGCACCATTTCCTTATTGGCTTCATTTCTTTGACTTTCCTCCCCAAAACAACTGGCACCACTCTCCTGTCCTCCGTTTTATGCTCACAACAACCCTGTGAGGGAGGTTATGCTCAGAGTTTGTGACTGGCTCAGGGTCACCCAGCAACCTTCCATGACATAGTGAGGACTCGAACCTGGGTCTCCCTAATTCTAGTGAGCCACTCTAACCACTCTGGCTCTTGAAACCAAAGAGAATTAAAGTACCTTCCTTCAGATGTGCCTACAGACATCTCCGGTTTCTTATAAACATAGCCCACTGTCAAGACGCACTTTCAATCCACTTTCAGCGCACTTTGCAACTGGATTTTATTGTATGAAATGGCAAAAAACACTTGTGAATTGGACTGAAACGGCATTATTTAGCATGTGTGAAGTGCCCGATGATAAGTTGGCATCTTCATAGGCCCCCCCACTCTGCTCTACCCAGCTAGAAAGAGACACCCCAGATTGTTCTCCGGGATTTCAGAGGTCTGAGCTACAAAAATCCACAGGTGATCTTTTTCCTCCAGTGCTCAACGTTCTCATCTGTGGATCGAAAGGCTGTGAAATGCATAGCCACAGGGGCCAGCTCCAGAGGGGGCAACCCTCCCCCTTCCATCCCAGGAGCGTCCTGGAGACCCAGGTTCGAATCCCCCCT